TATTATTCTTTTGTAGGTAATCTACCTAGAATTTTTTTCTTTGCCCCAGATGACCTTAAATTTCTCTACAAAGTGTCCTAAATGTGAGTGTTTCTTTACCTACCCCACAGGATTGGGAGGAGAGTGAGCACCCAGGGTACAAAATTTAAAGAGGCACTCCCAGGGTCAAGCAGTGTCTCCTTAAATTTTTCATTCCATGGGCTTCACTTGCCTCATCTTATTCCTGACTCTGCTAACATTTTGGTAATCTGTGAGCTCTTTAAATCTGAGGTCTTTGATCTTTCTTTAATTCTTGAATATATATCATTGTTTCTTCAATTATTTCCTTCCCTCTACTTCTTCATCTGGGACTCTTTCTTCATCTAAGTCTTTATCTAGGTCTCTTTTTTTATTTGCAAGTGAAAAATGTTTACTCACACAGCACTTTAAAGAGATACCTTAAACAGTAGGCATTCACATCTCCACATGAACAATGCACTGGGAAGCACAGCCCCACCAGTCACTCTGGATGTTTCTCAAACAAAATATAAAATTTGGGATTCAAATGCCACAGCCCATAGTCCAACTCCATCCTTCCCTGTGGCTGTCTTCTGGGTGGCTATGTAACACCACACGTGTGGAGCCAATACCAGTGTTAGTACTTCTCTTTTTCATGTCTCTTAGTTCTTCATTTATAGTTTAATTTCTTTATCCTTTCCTTCTGGGAAAAAGCTTCCAAGTCTGATTTTCTCATTCATGAATCTTGTTATTTATCTTATCTTTACTCTTTTATTTCAATTATTATATTTTGTTTGATATCTAATATTTTACATGATTCTTTTTTAAGACCTTTTACTCTTGCTTCATATTAATAATACCTTCCATGCCTCTGAGGATATTTTTATGCTCTTTGGATTCTTGGGAGTACTGGTTTAATTATTCAGCTTCCCATAGTGGAAGCTTCACATGTTTTTGACTTTGTTGTCTGTCTTCTACAGTGTCTGTCTAGTTTATCTTAGGTCATGATCCCTGAGGGGAATCAGCAGCCCTATGGGGGCAAAGGCTAAAGAGTAGGGTGTGGTTTGTGTGCCTCCCAGCGAATTAAGGAAAGAAAATTAGGGTCAGGCTGGAGAGCATCAGGCCTCACAAAACCAGTTTGACCATCTCCATTTTCTGTCACTGTACAAGGCCAGTCCTCTCTTCAGGACTCCATTCCTCCCCCCATCTAAAGTTTTAAAAAAAGAGGTATCACTGAAAGAAGGCAGTCTCTTGATGATTTTAGTTTCCCAGCACAGATGGTTGTTGTGGAATGGTGGAGAAGCAAATGCCCAAGGGGGCAGCATGCACACATTTTCATTAGCTCCTTACTCTGAGGGGACTTCTGTGCTATTTGGATGTTACTAAGTTGACAACAGGTGGCTAGGCAATTGCTGCCAGTTACTGTGGCCTTGAAGCAAGCAATGATCTTCCCAAGGCAATGTGGGAGAGAAGCTAAGAGCAGATTTTAAAAGCTCTCCACAACCTGTTCTCTCTTGGCTGCATCTGACCTCCCTACCCCCCAGCCCAAGTTGCCACCAACCCTCATACCTATTTACTAAATTTCTTACAGCTTTTTGATAGTTGATCAGATTCATGCTTCTTCTCCATTCCATGGTTTCTCCTTTCATCACTATAAAAAAGAACTGACTCCTTGCCTATTTGAAGCCTCTTATATAATATAATCCCAGCATACTAGAGATTTTATAAACATTTTCTTCATCCTCACAATTCAGAAAGCAAATTACTATCCCCATTTTAGAGAGGAGAAAATTGAATCTCACTGAAGTGATTTGTCCAAAATCATACAAGTAGGAAATGTGGTAGAACTGGATTTGAAACATGTCTGTCTTATCCCAAAGCCCATGCTTTGGATATTCCACTAATCCCAACTAATTAATGCCTAAATTTAGAGTTACTTCATTTTATTCAAGAGGTTATCAAACTATGTTTCTGAAAACACTAATGTTCTGTGAGCTAGACCATGGCATTCACCCAATTTTCCCAAGTGGTTCTAAAAAATATAAGTTAAGGTTAAAATTTTCACAATGTCATAGTTGTTTATAAATTGTTATTAAATCTTTGGTACCTACTGTTCTTTTGTGTGCTGGCAAATCCTAAAAGAAAGGTAATGATTAAATAGAAAATGAGTTTTGAGTAACTGATCTCAATTAGAAATCAAGAAAATGTTATGAATTAGCATTTTTTCCTGCTAACTGGGAAAAGAACTGAAAAGCCATTTAATATCATGTAATATATAAATATTTGAATAGTCATCATTTATGCTAGTAAAATTAGTTTATATCAATGTTGGATATTGAATTCATGAATGCTTAGTAAACGTGAACTTACTAACATATGTCTCCTTATACATCCTCCCTAATTTTTTTTTTTTTTGAGAGGGCAACTCTCATATTTATTGATCAAATGGTTGTTAACAACAATAAAATTCTGTATAGGGGGGTCAGTGCTCAATGCACAATCATTAATCCATCTCAAGCCTAATTCTCATCAGTCTCCAATCTTCTGAAGCATAATGAACAAGTTCTTACATGGTGAACAAATTCTTACATAGTGAATAAGTTCTTACACGGTTCTTACACGGTGAACAGTACAACAGTTCTGCATTCATCACAGAAACTTTCGGTTTTGATCACGCATTATGAACTATAAACAATCAGGTCAAATATGAATATTTGTTTGATTTTTATACTTGATTTATATATTGATCCCACATTTCTCCCTTTATTATTATTATTATTTTTATTTTTAATAAACTGCTGAAGTGGTAGGTAGATGCAAGATAAAGGTAGAAAACATAGTTTAGTGTTGTAAGAG